ATTAAGAGAAGACTATATGGAGTTCATAAAAGTTAACAGCGGATCTGAACTTTATCGTAAACTTTACAAGCAACATTAGTAAATGCAGAGATACGAAGTTTTTTGAATGGCCTTTTCACGGTCTAAAAAATTTCATTATTAGAAACTTTTTAAAACTGAATTATATCCTTTTGCCAATTATGAAATTTAACGAAGGCACACTTTTCTACCAAATGAGTGGAAGAAGGAATATTTTTATGCATGTTTTCTATGAAATGTAATCGAATTTTGAGGGAATCGAAAATCAATGAGAAAATTGCATGCTCCTTACGTACTCATTTTTTTCAGAGTGTAGTTTTTGTATGCAGCCGAAAAGAAGTCCTTTCGAAAGCCGGCATCCAATGGCAACTTAATTGTTATAGAATTATGTTGCAAGATGGTCCGCTTTACCACCCTGCTTAATCAATCTTTTCGAAACGAAAATGCATTACGGAATTTCGATTGACATTTCATGAGTAGGCCAACCTACTGTAACAATCCATGTCAATTGCGATATTAGAAGACGGGTTCGAGAGCATAGCTGCAACATCATGCGAATATAATTTTCGTTCTCGCGATCGCTTCTGCCTTTTCCCTATCGTAGTCTGACAGTTGATGGTGGAGTCGGTTTCACACTACCTATTATATACGTGAAATTACGCAAAATTCGAGATAGAAAATAGCCCAGAAACCGACCGAAATGGTCACCATCATGTGACAAATGGTTGTGGATAAATTTGATTTACAAACTCGGCGAAACAGTCACCATGACGCGACCGCAAACGCCCAACAAAGTGCTCCGACATTCGTCGTCCGTGTTTCAGGCAATATGCAGAACGACCCGACAGGTCCTTCATGTGACCTCCTCTGGTCTGTTGTTCACTTTCAGTCCTTGTTGGTGGGGACTTTTTAAATCTTGCGTTACCCCAACTATGTGGCAGACAGAGAAGACAGGTCCTTGTAGATCGCAAAGTGACATGTGGGATGGCGATTATTGCAAACGTGTTCCACAGCTTCATTTATTCGTGTGGAAGATGGATCAAGAGGGACCGCGGTGAGAAATTAAAGCGGAGTTTGCCGCAAATATTTCAATGAGCAAATGATTCCGCGCAGTTTCAGTTTACTGACAGTACGACAGACCTTGGAGTGCCAATAGTGGGCATCGAAGAATGGTCATCTGACGCGCATTTTTACAACTCAACGAACCCTTAGCCTCTAGTTCCTGGCACTGGAATTTTAGACAACAGACCGCGGCATCAAGTCTCAGGTGTTGTCAGACCTGGGGTTGGGTATGGCTGACTGATGGCGGCCAATAAGTCGGGTCTGGCCATTCTAGTCTCCCTCATTTTGGTCGGTAATGGTATTCTGCCAGTATTACTGGTCGTTGTAGGCTGTCGGCGGGTCTCAAGATTAGACTCCAAGGCACAACCGGAGTATTGCGTTCCGCAAAGCGATCGGTGAACGTCCCCCACTAAATGTTAACAGAGCTTCCGAAATGTTTTCGATCCGAAAAGTCCACTTAGGTAGGTTTGCAATATTGATTATCATGCAGCTCTACTCCAAGTTACTTCAGTCCCGTCAGAATGACGGCCTTCGAACGAGCTAAATTTCAGCCGTCTGTATAACCAACATTGTGACAAGTGACTACTATGCGGTATACATACACAAAATCATCACTTTATTAATACAAGTAGCCAGGTTTTTTAACAACAAAATGATTGGTCAGCGTGTGATGCTCACAGAAGAGGGTTTGATGCCGCTCACCTCCCCAAAGCGCCCCGCAGGGGCCTTCCGCTTCTCCTCGTCAGAGGGCGAGACTGCCACCTCATCCGCCCTATCCTTTGTGATTACTAATGTGGTATGCATTTTTCGTATGGACTCTTGATGCTCTCATATACTCAAATATAGAAGGCATGCATAAATATCTCCTTTCTTTTACACAATTGTTGACAAATTACGTCCACTTTAAATGTTGTACTGAAAGGAAGAGTAACATTTAGTTTTGAAAATCTCATGCAGTTACAAGCGAAGATGCGAGTTCGAGGAACTAGTAGAAGCGATCGCTGGAACAAGGACTTTATTTGCCTGATATTTCGGGTTCTCGCTCGAACCCATCATCGGAGACAGTGACAGAAACGGGTGCTTCGTGCACAGGAAGTTGCAGTCGCTATGCTACTGCACACCTATGATAATTAAGCGCTCTCCCCTTCATTAACGATTGTTGTCCGCTGGTGCGCTAATTGTTTGATGGCCGGCATGAAAGTTGTTAGTTACTGAAATCTCATCACCCGTGTTGGATTCTGGCAACACAGTTGCGTAATGACGCTATATAGGCTTGTTGAGGCGCACTGCAGTGAGCTGGAAGACAAGACAAGTTCAATATCGACGGGTTTTCAGAGAAAATGGTTACCGGCTCAACTTCGTCAACCGGTGCATGCGCAAAGGAGACGAGCGACAAAAGCGTACCGACCCCAAATTCTGACGAGCGATCCCGCACATCAACAACGTCTCCGAGGCCGTCAGTCGCCTTCTTGCACCACTTGAAGTTGGAGTCGCACACAGATCGGAGGCCACCATAGGGCGCCAGGGGATGAGACTAAAGGACCCACCGCCACGGCAAACAAATGGAGTCGTTTACCGGATCTGGTGCAATTGCGGACAAAGCACCTACGTCGGAGAAACTGGAAGACTGCTCCGGACGCGAATTGCCGAACACGCGACAGCGGTGCAGAGAAATGATGCCAACTCTCAGGTCGCGGCCCATTCGACGAAACCCGGCCACACATTGGAGTTCGATGGGACCGAAATTCTCGCGAGAGGGGATAATCGCGTGAGCTGCAAGTTGCTTGAGTCATGGTTCACGGGACCTCAGTCTATACTGCTAACATCTATCAAAAAGTGCAACGACATCCCCACTCCATATCCCGTGTTGGGGCCTGGTCTGGCCAGAGTAATCAACCACTCGGGAGCGCGCAAGCCCGTGAGCCAGATGGTCGAGCTATCATCACGCCAGCATCCAACACGGGTTATGAGATTTCAACAATTAACAACTTGCATGTCGGCCATCAAGCAATTAGCATACCAGTGGGCAACAATTCCTGATGAAGGGGAGAGCGGTTAATTACCATAGGTATGCTGTAGCATAGCGACTGCATCCGATAGTTGCTGCAACATCCTGTGCTCGAATCACCACTTTCTGTCACTGTCCTTGATTATGGGTTTGAGCGAGAATCCGAAACGTCAGGCGAATAAAGCCTTTGTTCCCACGATCGCTTCTAATTCTTATCAGCCCTTGCATTTCCCGGATGCTTTTGAACTCGTCTTGCCGCTACACTTGCACTCATTGTTTCCAAGCTCGATGTTGCATGCATTTCACGTAACCGAAATTAAATATTCCTATATGTTAATGAGAAGATAGCATATAAAGCTCCAAAAAATTTTCAGTGGATATGGACCATGCTGTCCACTTTATAAGCTACCGACTTATCTTTTGTAAGCACCGGGAATCAATAAAATACTTATTATTTAAATAATGGTTACTCGCAGTGTTAATCTCGCCGGTGGTGGAGGGGGCTTCACCGAAGTATTTCCATATTATAATTTAGTTAAAGGTCGTTTTCCAGACTACATATATTTCAGTTATCTTATTTCTTCTGGATGAAAGTATGTCAGAAAATTCCGAAAAGTTAGAAATGCATTGTAACTTATTCCAAAAGCCGTTTGAGAATAGCCGATTTTTTCAAATGACTAAGACAAGTGCACAGAACGACATGTGTCATCGCCGATTCATATCCGAATCCTTCTTGATTAAATAGTCCCAATTTAATTAAAGAGTGCAGGATGAGAGAACATTTCGCGGCGTGCTCTGTCAATTGCATCACTGGGTTCATTTGGTCTAGTTTAAGCATGCTTAAATGAAAACGCCTCATCTTGTGGGTGGTTCTACTTGGAACGATAAGATTCAAACTCTCTACTAAGGCATACCCACTTGGGATATCCACAAAGAACCGGAGGCAACCAGGAGTAAACCACTCAGGCCGTTTTGGGAAGGTTCCTTTGGGGAGACTACTACTTGAGTATGTGTTAACCTGGAACCTTCATCGTCCGCATGCGCTCCGGGACGAAAACCCAAGTCCCATACTGCTTGCCGTTTTCAGTGAGGCTCCCCGACTACCATAAAACCCATCCCTACTTCTACTTCCCCACCAACACCAGCAGACCTACTCGAGTAGAAATGGTCATCGTGCCGTGACTGCATGTGAGATTTCGACAGTGGTTTGCGACGATGTAAACCGTGGATCCCACAATCGGCCGAGCGCGGGGGCGATGACATGCGTCTCAATTACCTTGTAGCAGCAGTCTTGCGCAGCATCTACCGCACCCCGTCCTGATCTGACAACTGGGCCTTATCTCACGACAGAGTAGAAAAGACCGGAGACGGGATCAGGTGCAGCTGGCTGGCACGGCGTAGACCCGTACCTAAGCGCGCTACCATACATCCCACTGCATGCCCGAGACCAAGATTCCACTCGAAAATAGTTGGAGGATGACATAAAGGTCACAGTATAGAGAAGTCGCTGCGGCCTGATTCTCCGTCCTCAATGAAGGACCGACTGATCCCGACGGTGGACAGCCTCCCCGCAAGCCACGAATTTAGCGTACCGTGGTAGATCTATACGTGTCATACTACTTATAGGGAGGAATATGCGTAATCATCTCACTGAGCCACCTAATAAGGCAGTTCTACAGTGAAAACAACTTCGTAAAGCCAGACAAAGCCCACGCCAGTTTTTGATCCAAAAAAAACCAACCGCCCCACAGACGGCAGAAGTCAGACCAGTAAAAAAGCATTGTGTGTACTTTATTGTATCAAAGCAAAGAGCATAAAACTCACAACATGTGAATGCAGGGGGAGCAGTGATGTACAATTCCCTTTAACACACGACAAAACCTCATTGGAGGAGACCACCTAGAGTGTGGAGTTAGGCTGGACCGGGCGTCAGGCCAAAACGCTGGGCACGTTGTCGCAGTTTCTCGGGATCCACTGAGGTGGAGGAGAAGGAGGAAGTAGATGATAAGGACGACGTCAGACCAAACCGCGCTGCCCGAGCGTTTCGCTTCTCCTGCTCCGCCTTCGAAGTCGGCTGACCGGCAGTCACAGCAGTCATGCCGAACTTCTCGAGGCGTCTGGCTTTTTTAATCTCATCATTTTCCTACATACGTAAAATTATCACTTAATTAGTACAAGTAGTCAGTTTTTATAACGACAAAATAATTGGTCATCGTGTATTGCTCACAGAAGAGGGTTTGGGGCCGGTCACCTCCCCAAAGCGCCCTGCACGAGCCTTCCGCTTCTCCTCGTCTGACAGCGAGACCGCCACCTTATCCACCGGCAACCCGAATCGTTTAGCTCGCTGGAGCATCTTCTCTTCTCTTAGCCCGTTGGCCGTAGGACGCGCGCCACCAGTCGACAAGCCAAAACGCTCGGCGCGCTTGGCAATACGCTAGAAACAGACAGAAACGGCAGAAACAGTAAGAAACTACTCAGTAGGGAAAGCCAGTAGTGTGCGTCTAAAAATATTATTAATCAAAACAGTCAAAAGGGAGCGGGAGGGTCAGACATCAAAACCAAGTATCTGAAGAAGACTCTACTGTGAAAAATTTACCGAGCTTGTCTAATGACAGCTGAAAAAAAACCAGAAACGTGGAGCACACAAATCAATTACTTTGGCACTCCAATTGTTCGCCTTGCGGACATCCTTGTCTGCTTCGACAGTAAAGAAGTCGTCTACGGAAGCCGCGTGCCCGCTGTGACGCAATCGATCGCGGTCATACTGAGAAATCTGTCTCCAGTCGTATACATGCACATCGACTGGGAGTGAGGAGACGAGACCACTTGTCCCACATAGACACTGAACGCAAGACTTACATTCGCATGAGTGGAAACTCGCATCTTTGACACCTGACAGCCGTGTGTTCTTAGAAGCAATGCACCAGTAGGCATATCAATGTATACGTCACACAAAATGCTCAGACGCAGTCAACCTCCACTGCGTAACACAATACAACTAACGTTTCTTGGCAGGACTTCAACTAACAAGTATTATTTAGACATAGTCGATTATTTAACTGAGTTTGCGTTCTGCTCGACGAGAGGTGGGGAGCCGGTCTAACACGTCGGGGATGGTCAGAATGTCTTCAGTAAGTGTACCTGATACAGCTGTGATCATGCCTGATCTAGCCGGCCTCGATAATGTCATTGATGGCACTTCTCCACGCGTGACTGTTCGCGGCAGCAGTGGACTAATACCTTCAGTCTTCGCTCATCACACACGCGCACAGCCCAGCATTCACAACCGTAAGGGAGACTGGGCGGCCGGAAGCAAAGTAAACGGGCATCTGGGTGGTGATTTAGAAATCACATTCGGTCCCTGGACACATTATACAGTGAGTGACCGATCACATTAAATGTTGGCTAGGATCCTGAAATGCGTTTTCGATTAGGAAAGATTACTTGGGCGCGGTTGCAAAACCGATTATCTTGCAGCAAAACCTATAATACCTCGGACGCGGCAGGATCAGACGTGCCGCGAACAGTCACGCGTGGAGAAGTGCCATCAGTGACATTATCGAGGCCGGCTAGATCAGGCATGATCACAGCAGTATCAGGTACACTTATTGAAGACATTCTGGCCATCCCCGACGTGTTAGACCGGCTCCCCACCTCTACCGGCGCGTTGAGACGCACTGCAGTGAAATGGCAGACAAGGTTGCTGAATTACAATATCTTCGACGGGTAATGAGAGCCAATGGTTCCCCGCGCAACTTTGTCAACCAGTGCATACGAAAACGACACCAGAGACCAAATCCAACCGGCCCCAAATGTTGGCGGGCTTTTCTGTACGTGAAGAACGTCTCGGAAGTCGTCAGTCGTCTTCTCACTCCAATTGGAGTTGGGGTTGCACACCGGCCGGAAGCAACCATTAGGCGTCAAGTCATGAGGCCAAATGACCCGCTGCCACGGCAGGAAACGTCTGGAGTCGTTTACCGGATCTGGTGTAGTTGCGGACAAAGCAACTATGTCGGAGAAACTGGGAGATTAGTCTGTACGTGAATTACCGAGCACGCAGCAGCAGTGAGGCGGGGAGACGCTAACTCTCAGATGGCGGCACACTCGACGGGACCCGGCCATATTTTCAAATTTCAAGAGGCGGAAATCCTCGCAAGCGGTGACAACCGCGTGAGCCGCGAGCTGCTCGAGTCGTGGTTCTCAGGCCCGCAATCCATCAACAAGCACAATGAACTCCCGGTACCCTATTCCGTACTGCGATTTTCCCTGGGCAGGAGAATCAGTCACGTGGAGAGGGCGCGCGCGAGCAATTATCCCAGTGATAGTAACTCAATTTGCCGAGCAATCGTCACACCAGCATCCAGCACGGATGACGAAATCACGGCCATTAACGACTCGGACTCGGACGGACAAGCCACCACCGCATCAATTACGACCGCGGCGGTGTTTGCGAGAGCTGTTAATTACAGCGCGCACATGGTCCCACGGCAGCAACGTGCTATACATACTGCACTCCCTGTGCCACCATCACCTTTATCTGCGAATGTCTCTAATGATGGATTCGAGTGAGAATCCGAAACTTCAGGCCAATAAATTTCCTGTTCCAGTGATCGCATCTTCGTCTTCAGAATTCAATGGGTTTTGCTTTACTTAACCTTCTTAAACCTTTATCTCTTTAATGAGTGTGGTCTGTTTTTATGCACTTGCGTACAGACACACCACCAAGAAGTTACTGATATTTCGGATTAATTTTGCTTCAGGAAGCACGAGTTAAACTGAGTATCTAGCTCGGCCATGGTCAACCCGCGCTGTCCGAGTTTTTTCGCCACTCTTTCGTATTATAGATACAAATCGCGCGTCTACTGATAAACGTTCAGTAGCCCGGAGTTGTTTAATCTAAAGTGCAGTCAAAGGAGTCAGGGGGAAGCGAACAACATAAGGGTAGACTTGCCTCCTCCTCTGATGTGACATGTGAAACCGATGTTGGTGCTGTAGAGTTGGATTTAGTAGGAGCTGGTGGCTCAACTGGAGGCGGAGCAACTAGGGTGGGTTTTTTAACTGCCACAGTCACTCCATCGTCTTCTTCGACTGCCTCCTCCGCTCGACGCTTGAGGCCACGAGTTGCCTGCTGTTTTGCGGTCGTCGGTGGCGGTGGCGCAGGTTCGTGGACGGGAGATTCCATCGGGGCTTCCAGAGAAACCCCTATGTCGGTCTCTGCTGTGTCACTCACGTTGTCCAACAGCTCTGCCTCATCGTCTGGTTGCAGCGTCACAATGGGTTTGTCTGGGGAAGCATACAAAAAAACAGAGTTCAGGGGAAAGCCGAAACAAGGTGGCATAATTTAACGGTTCCAAGCCTGCTCATCATTTGCTGTACTCAATGGCGTTCTCTATGCATAGGCGTCGCAAATGATCTTTGGAAGAGCGCGCCTAAAGCGGGGGCTACATGAAATCCTACTCTGGCTAACGACATCAATGCTTAGATCCCACGGGAGGGTGGGAAAGGGCAGATACTCGGGTGTCAGTAGTATAAGTACGTGAAATACCGAAAAGCTCTGAGTGCTTAATCTGATATATTCTATGCTTATTACCCCATTGCTTGATCTGTGGATAATCCCTGTCAACTTCTTAGCATCAGCCGTTTGTAAACAAAACTGTTTCAGAGAATGTGTTTGTCCGTTTGATTTGAAAGCGCTTGAATATGACCGTTTAAATGCTGCATAACGAATAAATCGCATTACGTCACAAAAGGGATGCTAAAAGAAGTCACAACAAAGAAAAAGGAGACTGTGGATGGCCATTTCTGGATTATTTGCCGTCGCCAGCCAGCCACACCCAGAGCCAGGTTTTGTCGCACCTGAATCTCCAGCCTAGCTATTTAGTCATCGTGCGTTAATAAATCCAACGCCCTACCAACGGGGCCACGGACCCGTTGGCCTGTCCGTTGTGTTGACAGTTCGTTTACCGGTTGGGTTGCATTGAGCCCCAAGGCAAAACGGTACGAGCATGTCCCCTAACCCCATCGGCGAGCGTACTTCCAACACAAAAGTAGTACGGTTTTTCAAGACAAAGAAGACACAGCCAGGTGACCACAAAACTTGACGAATGTGTGAAAGTCAAAGATCCAGATTAGTCTGGAGTCCGTACAACGATCGAGAAGACTGGACGCAGAGGGTCCAGGAATGGTAAAACATCAGTTATAAGCTACTAATCTTACCGCGAGGAATCAAACCGCATTCAGTGAAACGACGCGGAAGACGGGGGGATTCTGATAAACAGGTGCATCGACTCCAAATATAGGTTGGGTATTAAAGAAGACTGCGTGCAGGCCACACAACTACCACAACTACTACTGCCACTACTTGGGCAACTACTACTACTGGCCATCTGTGAGAAGAAGAGAACACAGTTCGTAAGAAGACGGATCAGATGCTCAAACAGGACTGGCCTGTGCTACATATTATGGCTGGACGGCCACTTATACGAAATGCAAACTCACCATCATGACACACAATGCGCTCAACTAGTTCAAGTTTAGATCCATTTGTCGGCAGGTCGAGCTCACTGCAGATCTTCTTTAACTCGGCTAACTGGAAGGGGAAACCAGACGTAAAGTTAGTCAGGAAAGTAAGTGTTAGGCAGGAAATTTACCTTGATGAGAAGTGGAGGGGTAATAAGGTGTTTGGGTAAAGGACTTTCTAGTCAAAATAGTCTAAAACAAATGCAGTCTCAAAAAGGGAAGGCGCGAGCGAAAGACAGAAAGAAGGCCATAGTTTAGTTAAAATCCCTCCAAAAGTTAAACTCATAGAAGAAGCTTGCTACGCGTTCATAGAAGGGAAGACGCTTTCAATGGTCAAAATTACCTAACCGGTCATCGCCAAGAAGTATCAGGACGCTGGGGCCGAATGAACCTCCGATGACGCCATGTAAACATGAACCAGGTGCTCTTGTCTCTCCTTGCATGTGATAGTCAGCTCACCCTACCGCATAGGTCATTATTGTCCCAGAAAGGAGAAAAATGATCGACATGGAAGCCCAGAGATACGGGTTACCTAGGCGAAAATCACGTCAATTTGGAGGACGTAGACGAGCCAAATGATCAGTGCCTCGTGGGAATGTGTCAATTCGGTCGTTTGTAGAGGTACGAGGTGAACCTAACTGGTCATTTTTCACACCTAAGTTGTTTGCCCCATTGCTCTAATAAAGGCACAGAGCAATAACTTCCCTTCCTCGATGCTGACTTCTTCTATTATACATCGGTCTCAACCTCCGTTTCCATAATCACAATGATTACGCAGCAAGACCGGGCGAGGCTGGGCGCCATGGATGATCAGACAGTCAACTCGGGCTACACATGCTACACACGTGCTGCTTTCTCTTCACGCAGAAATCAGACTCAGTATGTCCTGGCAGTCTTATCGTCAGGGTTACTAAAATGACTCCTTGGGAAGAAATATAGCTTTCAGTGTCAGAACAGGTGTCACGCCGTTCAAGGCATGGGAGTTAGGACGTGACAGGTTAAATGTGCACCCGTTGTTCAGTCGGGGGGAAAGGATAGGGAGGAATGACCCTACTTCCCCCCCCCTTCCCGTTGTTTTCCACTGACGTCAACATGTTAGAAATCCCGTAGATGAGTTGGTGCTTTGACTGACCAGTTGGTTATTCGACTCCGTATCACGAATCGACGCAGCTTAAACTAAACGAAATAAGCAAACTTCACTCTGACAGCTCAGGCCGCATAAGGGGGACTGCTTATCCCCCACGTAGGCGGGCACCTCGACCTTATAGGGTATTTGTAGCACAGAATGCAACAAGGTCCACTACTGCCTAGCGAGATTGGTGAGGCCGCAAACTAGAAGTGAATCTATGGCGTAATGAAGGTGTCGATTTAACTTGTGCATGGGCTTTGTAATTCTTAAATGTTGGTCCTAAGACAGCGCAGACCATCGTAACGCATAATCGAACGGCATGTACAATATTGTTGGAAAACAAAACCCCCTAGGTGCTTTGTTGATCAAATTTCCCTTGAGTATAATGGGACTCCATGGTAGACAACATGCCCCAGTTGCGGTTACATGTTGGATTCAGGTCGTCCTTCGTCCGAAAAACAGCCAAAATCACGGGACTGCAGAGTTCGGTGGCCTGGAGTCCTTCTTTAGACCAGAAGATCGTGTCCACGTGTTACACAACCGCTGCATGACTAATCGTATCGAGTGTTAAGGTAAATGGACTGCTGAGCAAACAACTTTTCGGGATTCTGTAACGTCCCGTGATCTGTACAGGGTTGTTTGAATGCTGTGGCACTTTTGGCGCGCGGGCCTAGGTTGGAGATGGCGTAGCCGCATGTTGGTGAAGATGATCGGTGTCCCTTCCACTCTCTTCCGCCGATCCCTGCTCCGTATCGTGTCGTAACGTTCGTACCGCTTCCCTCACTACATCGGCAACTCCCTCGGCCCTTCCCTGCAGTTGCCCCCAGCGCTGCGCTCCCCACCGGTTTTCCAGCTGGCATGTTGGCTTCGCCTCTCCATCCAGACAGGTCACTCGACTGTTGTAACTCATCCCGTCTGTACTTTTAACTGTCATTATACATCTTTTCCATTCCCTTTTCTGTTCATTATATCTTCCGTCCGCTGATCGCTTCTTCTTCCTTTATGTGTGGATGAGTATCGTGAACTGCTAACCATCGTATTCAGATCAACACATGCCAGGATCTCTTTATCGATATTCCGTTACGTGGTTGTGTGCTACCCTTGACGTCCTTGGCCGCTACAATTCTACAAAACGTCTAGGTATTAATGTAGGCAAGGGGGCGTTAGGAGTTTGCAAACGTTCGACTGCATACATCGCACAGTCTCGCGATTAACGGTCTGAAATTAAGGTAGCGCCGCAGGGGATGTCTGTAAGCTACAGGGAAGCCTTGATGGCTCCTTCAAGTTTGAGACAGTCGATTTCTAAAGTGTCTCCGGAGAAGGCGAACTTCGATAACTAGCGTGGAAATGCGAAATAACTAGAAAGACCTTGTCAGGTGGCTGGATCACTAAAACAGTCAACAGCAGTTATAATTCTCGTCGATAATATATAACTATAAAATTAAAGAGAGGAGAGTGGTTCAAGTGACTCAGATATCGTACTGCAGCATGCCGCCTCCATTTTAGTTGTAATCGACATACTTCTCAAGTATTTGCGGTACGGTGAAGGGAAATCGAAAAATGCTACCAACAGGTAACTAAACTATGAAAATAAAATGCATTGGACATCGACCACCGGATTAATCCAGCAAATCCATCAAATGACAGTTCAGTAGAGCAATTGAGCATGAGTGAAAGTTTATACCGCACCTACGGAAAGGCCTACTACAGTAAGTTAGGATTTGTAACGTGTATAATTTCAAAACAGAAACCTGCCTTTAGCTTTTTGAGTTCTTCAGAAGTCCTGATCGACATCCTCTAGTAGTGATCAAACAGGGTAGCCCCGGATGCCACGGTTGCAACAACAACCAATCACAAAAGCATCGCATAGTTCAACCTAACATATATGTTAATTGATGAAAGTATTTATCTGCCGAAAAAATGAGCGAAAGGTTGTAAGAATTAAGCTTTAAAATAAGGGATAACATGAACAATAGTAAAAAATGAGCGTTTTGTGACCAAAAGACTAGGAAACGTTAACACTTCTAAAATACATGAGTCATTGAGTCGCCGAAGGCCGGCCAAAGTTTTTCGGCAACAGAATAGCATGGTAACTGTTCATCAGAAAATCCAAAAGCATTTTACCCAGGACGTTGGCCGAAACATTCAGCAGAAAGCTTAAATGAGTGGAATAATGCCTGGGATAACAAATGAGCGCGGCGCAGCCGACTACATCGCCATAATTGGTGAGAAAAGTAAAATAAATCCGCCCACATGTAAAAACGCAGAAATAACGATAAAATGATATGTTAATTTTCTGCCCGAATCTTCTTGAGCACGAGATAGAGATAAACAAGCGAGTGCTCAATGGTAGTTGAGGAATTTTTATTTGCAAGCCGACCAGCGCAAATTATAAATACCAGATAAAACAGAAGAAATTATGCTGCATTCAACCCATAGTTGTTGAAAATTGGTGGAGAGAAGACGCCAAATGGGACGCATGACGGCATAATGAGAAAGTCCATCGCCGTGAGTGTTCCCTAGGCATAGTTTAATTCTTGGCATTGGATTTTTCTATGTGCCTACTCGATGCTATCCTTTGAGCAAATTTTTCTCGCTCTTTGTACCAAATATCGGACTAGATTTCGGTGTTTTTGTAGGGCTATGAAACTAGCGAAGTTGGTGTATTGTCCAGACTAGGTTTTCTTCCTGTGAACGCTTCTTCGGACACTCCCGTCAGGTCTCCTGCTTTAAAGAACATCAAAGAAAGGGATGGAACCGGCCGTTTGGGTCTCCAACGTGAATATGATAGAGGGAAGTGCCAGATTTATAGCGCTTAAGAGGGCATCTACGTCAGTTTCTGCTGTCGCAATCACAACGATAGCATGAACATAGCGACCGTAATGTTTTTTGACCTCATTGCTTAGTTGAAATCTCCCCAATTTGCCCATGAAGACATCGGCTAGGAGAGGTCCAAGAGACGAGCCCATAGCAACGCCGTCTGCTTGTTAATAGAGTTCGTTGTCAAACAGGTACTGCATATTTAATGTGCATCATAGTAATAGTTCCTTGAGTGTCCTCGTCGGAATTCCTTTTTCCTGCTGATTGTTCGATAGAAATTCACAGATGTATTCAACTGTCTCGGTAACGGGAACGTTTGTAAAAAGTGACGAAACGTCCAGCAAGAACATCATCATTCCATTGAGGTCAAGGTCTTCAATGTCATTAATGACTTCAAAGGTATCTCGATAACTGCGTGGTGCTAGCTGATGCTGTACAGGCTTGAGGTTCTCTACTAACCACTTTGCTATGGCATGATAGGGCGAGTTTCGCATGTTCAAAATCGGACGGACTGGCAGGCCTTCCTTATGGGTCTTAAGTAGACCATATAGTCGAGGGATATGTGTGCCGACTGGTCGGAGGTGTTCGAGTTCACGGTCACTTATGTAACCCCCTGTGTGGAGCCGTCTTAGATAGTCAGTCAGTTTCGCCTCTACTTCATCCGTACAATCTTTTTTTGTTTGTCTACTTTCCTGAATTTCTTCTTGTCTGATAATGTGGACTGTACCATCGCTACGTTGTCCGATCTGTTCATTATAACGACGCCTGTTTATTTGTCCGGTCGAGTTACCAAGATATCTTTGTTCTCTTGAAATTCTTTTAACTTTTGCGCATGTGCTTTTGTCAGCACTCCCCGACATTTTGGCCCTTGTTCAGGTACCGATAACTTCAATTCACCAGTGTTGATTTAAAGTGTTGGATACTGTCTGTGGAAGCGGGCACTAGATCATAGGTTTGATTCCATAGGTTATCAAACTGAGTTTCCAAGTCTAACTGATTAACTTTTCAACGAGGTATATGGAACTTAGGACCAGGGGATAATACTTCAGGCGATGGTTTATCATTTGTCCAATGAGAGTCATTGTGTACGTACCGACCCGGATCTATTGGAAACCGTGATTGTGGTTTCATCTCATGTACACTTCTAATAATTGCAGAACTTCTTGCCTCTCCGCGTTTTCTTCCTGTGGATTGAGTGTAGCTGTCGAATTCCTGTCTTTCTTCATCTTTCAGTGTGTCTATGACGGCTGTGCGTTGACACACGTGACGCTTCAGTTCTTCTATCTTTACGAGGTTACTTTTTTATTGATTTTCAACGTACAATCACACTCATTGGACAATTGACAAAATATTGCTTGAAGTATTATCCCCAAAATTTTGTATACCACATTCCCACACTCAGCCGGTGTTTTAAGGCGAACTTTAATCGATTTGTCTTATCACTGACGTGTTTGTACTTCTACCCCCTTCCCATATAATTGTATGGGCCGGACGAGAATTTATCGAAAACTACATATACTAGCCATCTCGTCGTTTGACTATGCAAAGGTTCTGACGCCGTCCCGTCAATGTAGTACTGGTGTTTTTGAGAGGCATTTCGGCGCGTGTTCATGAGACGTTAAACTACAAAAGCCATCTGTTCGACCAAGCACACAGTTTGTTGATGTTCGACTGCAACTTCTCTGCGTCATCATCACATTTGACTTCACTCCATATTTTTATGTCATCCGCGAACATGAGAGCCTCGCAATTCACTTCGCTGATGCAGTCATTACCATAAATCAGGAAGATTACTGGGTCTAAGACAGAACCCCCTGGGACATCACTTTCAACCATTGCCCATCGCGAGGTAGAGTTACCAACAACGATTCTTTGTACTCTGGAGGACAGAAAACTCCTGGTTCATTTAACCATTCTTCCTTGAATTCCTACATCCCAGATCCCCTGTAAAAAAAGCCTGTGCGGGCCTTCTTGAAATCAAACTGGCACAAACTGGAAAACCCTTATCGGTAGGTCGGTTATATTTCTCGTGCGAGTAAAGAACACTCGTTTGGCAGGAGCGCCCAGGACGAAGAACATGTTGGGCATCACGCAATATTTTGTTTTGTTTCCAGACATTTCATCAAGTGTCTTTTGAAAATGCGTTCCAATATTTTACACGCCATGCAAGTAAGAGTAACGGGAAGATAAATTCCGCAGTCAAATCTTGAGTCTGCTTTGTGGATCCGAGTAATGAGTGCGCACTTTCATTCTTCAGGGAGCTCGCACTCTTCAAATGACTTTTGAAATATTGTGGATAATGGTTTGCACATATCATTGGCAAGTTCACGAATTGCTAGTGCGGGAATTCTATCCGGGCCAAGCGATTATGCGGGTTTCAGGGGTAGGAGGGGGAGGCTACTAGAAGGAGAGGTTGGTTGGCGAACGAATGGATGGGCAAATATAGAGCTAGGTTCTCGGGTGAAGACGGAATGAAAGAATTAAGAAAAGATAGGCGCTTTAATCTGGTCATCAGTCTCCACATTTCCATCTACAGATTTAGCGCACGGATAAACTCCTGAGTCATTTTTACTACTTCGCATACAGCCATATACAATTTTCGGATTCTCCAACGAATTTTGAAGTATGTTCAGTCGGAACTTCCTTCGAAGCTTTGAGGAGTGACTTTTACAAAACTTTCGGTGCTGCTTATATTCCTGTAAGTGTCCTTCGCAGACAGTTTTTCTGTAACGCCTCCACAGACGTTTTCTGTTTATGACAGCGGCCTATAAGTCCGAGTTTATCCATGATGGGCGGTTTGTCATTGTCTTGCTTCCAAGAGGACGAGTGGAATAAGCAATCTGTTTCAGTAAGGAACTGAAAGTATACTAGTTGTCGTTTGCTCGACCATGCAGTTCAGTCTCCCATGACACAGCTGCCGCTTCCCTTCTCTTGAGGTAATAGCCCACTTATCAAATGTTTCTCTCCAATGTTTCTGTCTTTCACCTCAGTTTAAGTTGTGACCTGTAGAAATAAGCTGAGATATCAGCTAAAGTGAGCGATTTGCCCTTGTTTCGAAGATCACAATATAAGTGATATCTTCCTCCTTTTGTTCGCCTCACAGGAAGTCGCAATCAGGGGTTTAAGAAGGTACTTGGCTCAGTTAAGTTCGGATTCCTACGCAGGACGACTTCAGTGGGCTTTCGATATCATGCTTTCTTCAGTGAAAACTTACCTAAAATACTGAGTCGGTGTTAGCTTAAAACGGTTGGTTGATACAGGGCTTCATCCGGAAAGAAGGCTCTTTCTTCTGCTCAGTTGTAGCAATCGAAGACATGGTGAGGATCACACATGCAATCGAACAGATCATCTCGGGTAGCACTCAAAATAAATGTGCAGCCATGTACAATGTGATCAGATCACAGTACAGTCGTAAGAATGAGAAAGCGCATTTGTTCACTGTAAGTCGGTACGGTAAGATTGCGTATGCCAAAGTGCTTTTCAGAGCTGACTGTCAGTAGCCATGCTCTAAAAGTTTGTTTCTAATAATAATAATATTATAATAAAATTATTCTTATTCTTTGCATGCATATCCGCGTTATTGGTTTGTAGGGGTAAACTCAAAAATTCGTCGTCCTCAATCCGGAAAATCCGGGACGCACAAAGCAGACTGCAGTTTAATTGCCTATAAGACATAAGGAATAAGCCAAGCACATTCAGCCTCTCCTGGTTACACAAATTCTTTAGATCGTCGACCATCATCGTTGATTTGCTTTGCACGTGTTCGAGTAAGTCGAGTAAGTCCTTCCACATCCATGGTTAATTTGCTGGCATTCCCTTTCCCAGGTGGGGTCTTGCAAATACGTCAAAACGTCTGCAACGGATTATCCGCACAAAGCTACTACTTTACAACAAGGCTACCGAAAAATACGCCTTTCAAGAAGGCATGTAAATGCACTTGTCGCTTGTTTAACTATATATTTCCTGCTGTCACT